TGAAGGAGTTGCCACACTTGTAATTATGTTTTGAATAGTTAAGCTTCACATACGCTGAAGATTATGGTTTTGTCTGCATTTTTCTTTGGCTAGTTTAGTGGGTTGGGATTTAGTTAGATACATTCATTCATTTTCTTTTTGGCTTAGTCCCTTTATTAATCTGGGGTCGCCACAGCGGAATGAATCGATAACTTATCCAGAATATGTTTTACGCAGCGGATGACCTTCCAGCTGCAACCCGTCTCTGGGAAACATCTATACACACTCCTTCACACTAATCCACTACATACAATTTAGCCTACCCAATTCTATACCGCATATCTTTGGACTGTGGGGGAAACAAGAGCACCCGGAGGAAACCCACGTGACGCTGGGAGAACATGCAAACTCCACACAGAAACGCCAACATGCCCAGCTGAGGCTCGAACCAGCAACCTTCTTGCTGTAAGGCGACAGCACTACCTAATGTGCCACCACGTCACCCCTTTAGATTATTTTGTTATATTTATTTCTTCATTTTGGCAACACTCCTGTTTTTTGTTTGATTCGGTTATTTAAGGTACATTTTGAATTCCTATATTCATTGTTTAATATCATTGTTTAATAAATTGTTATTTTTGTTTTGCACATTTATTTGTTGTGTTCTCTTATTTTCACAAAGCACCAGTAGAAACTCACTTAATGTTACGACTCATCCATGACAACATAAACAAGTAACACGGAATCGAACGATCTTAATCCAAATCCAAACCACATCAAGAGGGTGAATATTCTTGCTGCCATGTGATTGGCTGACTAGATATTTGTGTTTGCAAGCACTAGATCAGGTGTACACAACAATTCAGAAATGAGTGCAGATTTACAGAAAAACATACAGATAAAGCAGACAAAAGGACACACACAGACAGAGAGAACAAAACATTTATATACAGACCCCTGACCGAATACATGCATGCATTCTGAGATTCAGTGAACACATGTTTTCAAATTCAGTGAACTATAATTGAGATGCCAATCATGTGCAAAAGACATCATCTGAGCAGTGCTGAAAATCATGTGGCAATTTCACACAGCCTAGAATTCTAAAACACACACACATACATACAAACACCTATCTATATGGGGATTTCCTATTGACGTAATGACTTTTATACTGTGCAAACTATATATTCCATCCCCATACTCCAAACCTACCCTTAAACCAAACTCTTAAATGAATCTGCATTTTTACATTTTCAAAAGTCAAAAAATGGTTAAATCAAGGTCAAAATCTACTGGTATTTTCATATACAAGTGTCCCCACAATGTCAGGAAGACATGGTGTGCACACACACACACGTGCGCGCACACACACTCTGAACTATCTAGATCTCTGTCTATCCAGCAATCATATCTTAATCCAGTGTTTTAAATCCACAGGGATAGAAGTGAGACCTACAGAGACTGACAGGAAATAAATAAATAAATAAACGAATAAATAAAAGTACTACGATGAAAGCAGGATTAGAGGAAGGGCGGAGACGCAGAAATCTGGAATCCTATTAAGAGCAAATCAGTTTGTTGAATGAAAGCACGATGACAGAAGCTCCACCCACAAGTGGGAAGCTCTCGACAAAACTTTACACTGATATTTTATTTCCCTTCCTGTGACATTTGTCTGTTTCTTGTCTTTCTCCATCACTCTCCATTCATCTGTGCCAGCTCACACAGAAAGTGTATGATTACCCCCTTCCTCACATGCCAGAAAAGACTGATGTAGAGGGAAATCAGTCTGAGGAACAAAACGAGAGGCACACACAGGCACTGGCTATTCTTACAGAAGATACTAACATTAAATATCAATGAAGTGGGGGCATGTTAATAGATCGCCAAAGACCAAATCATCAAATCATGGATCATCTGATGCATATTTGTCTACAAAAATAAGGATTCATATATCATATTTTACGTAATCAGTATTTATTTTTTGATTCATGAATATTATATTATTTAAAAAAATTATTCCACTTTATAGTTTTAGCTGTGTCTTGGTTTAATGTTATAAGTATGTGTGTAATTATGGAGCATCGTGAGAGATTTGACCCTCCCTAAAACCCCATTAAAACCATATAATTGCACGCACACACACACACACACACACACACACACACACACACACACACACACACACACACACACACACACACACACACACACACACACACACACACACACACACACACACACACACACGCACACACACAAACGCACACAGGGGATTCAATGAGAATGAATTGCATCCACTGATAGTGTTGTTTATTTGTATTGCCATGCGTATGTGGTTTCAGGGTTTCAGTATCCAGTTCACAAAAAGATTTGTATAAACCAGGTTTGTTAAATGCAAGGTGCATGGTCAAGTTCTTCCTTTTAAAACCCAAAGTACTGTATAGGATGCACATTTCACTCAACTATTCCAATGCCTTCTGTATTTAAAACAACAACAAAGTATTATAACAAGTTATATATCCTATTTTTATGACAGTTATTGAAATCAGACATTAATTAAACCTGATCCAAACCACACATTTCAGATGTGAATGGTCAAATCACTGGTCATGGTAAATCTATAAACCAAATTCAAGCCATATCCACATATGTTTAATTTAAGTGTAAATGGATAAAATACATGAAACTGAACTGATTTATAAACAAGATCCTTACTACATCCTGATGTATCCCAAACTCAGATCACATAAAATCAGATACTTTTAATCCAGATCCAAACTGCATCCATATATTTGTGAACTGTCAGATTGCATGACCCCAGATGTTAATATTAAGAATCCAAACAATTTCCATATGTGTTACAAATGAAAACAGATCACATGAAATCAAACATCTGTAATCTGAATCCAAACCATATCAAAAACAAACAAGCGTAACAAGTATGAATGGTATAAGATCACATGAAATCAGATGTTTATAATCCAGATCCAAACCACATCCATATATGTAACAAATGTGAACTATCAGACCGCATGTAAATATAAGATGTATAAAATGTAAATAATCAGAATCCAAAGAATATCTATTTTTGTTACAAATGTAAACAGTCAGATCACATGAAAACTGACATTTGTAGTCTGGATCGAAACCACATCCATATATGTTTCAAAGGTGAATGGTCAGAACAAATTCAAATTAGACATTGTTATTCTGGATTCAAACCATATCAAAAAATGTAACAAGTGTGAACGGTAAGACCACATGAAATCAGATGTTTATGATCCAGATCCAAACCACATCTATATATATAACAAATGTGAATGGTCAGATCGCATGACAACAGATGCAAATAATCAGAATCTATATCCATGTATGTTACAAATGTGAACGGTCAAAACACATGAAATCAGACATCTGTAATCTGAATCTAAACCATATCAAAAAATGGAACAAATGTAAACGGTAAGATCACATGAAATCAGATGTTTATGACCCAGATCCAAACCACATCCATATATGTAAAAAATGTGAACGGTCAGATCGCATGATGGTATCAGATGTTAATAATCCAATTCAAAACTCTATCCATATATTTTACAAATGTAACCGGAAAGATCGCATGAAATCATATGTTTATAATCCAGATACAAACCAAATTCATTTACAGTATGTGACAAATGTGAACTGTCAGATCACATGAAAACTGACATTTGTATTCTGGATCTAAACCGCATCCATATGTTACAAACGTGAATAGTCAGAACACATGAAATCAGACGTCTGTAATATGGATCCAAACCATATTAAAAATTTTACAAGTGTTAATGGTAAGATCACATGAAATCAGATGTTTATAATCCAGATCCAAACCACATCCATATATGTTACAAATGTAAACGGTCAGATCACATGAAAACTGACATTTGTAGTCTGGATCTAAACCGCATCCATATGTTACAAATGTGAATAGTCAGAACACATGAAATCAGACGTCTGTAATATGGATCCAAACCATATTAAAAATTTTACAAGTGTGAATGGTAAGATCACATGAAATCAGATGTTTATAATTCAGATCCAAACCACATCCATATATGTTACAAATGTAAACGGTCAGATCACATGAAAACTGATATTTGTAGTCTGGATCTTAACCGCATACATATGTTACAAATGTGATTGGTCAGAACACATGAAATCAGTCATCTGTAATTTGGATCCAAACCAAATTAAAAATTTAACAAATGTGAACAGTCAGATCACACGACATCATATCAAATATCAAAATATGATATCAAACATCATATCAAATATTAATATTAATAATTCAAACAATATCCATGTGTGTTACAAAAGTAAACGGTCAGATTCCATGAAATTCAATGTTAATAATCTAGATCCAAGCCAAATTCCTAAATGTAACAAACTGTCAGATCACATGACATCAGATGTAAATTATTCATAATCTAAACAACATCCATATAAGTTTCAAATCTGAACAGTCAGAACACATGAAATCAGACATCTGTAATCTGGATCCAAACCATATAAAAATATAACAAGTGTGAACGGTAAGACTGCATGGAATCCGATGTTTATAATTCAGACCCAAACCAAATTCATATATGTAACAAATGTGAACAGTCAGATCGCATGGCATTAGATGTAAATAATCAGAATCCAAACAATATTCATATATGTTACAAATGTGAACAGTCAGAATACACGAAATCAGACATCTGTAATCTGGATCCAAACCATATCAAAAAATTTTACAAGTGTGAACTTGTGAAGTGTGAAGACTGCATGAAATAAGATGTTTAGAATCCAGATCCAATCCACATAGATATATGTAACAAACGTGAACAGTCAGATCACTGAATGGCAGATGATCTGATTTAAAAACTGGATCGTACTTGTGTGCAGTTTGAACAGAGAATGAGACGATGTTTAGCATTAACAAAAATACCACAGGCAAAACAGTTTGCTAAATTCGCCCCACAGGACTGTCTTACCTGTTTGTGCATCTCAATGTTGAGCCCGTAGGACATCTCGTAGTACTGTGAAAACACAAGCGAGAGCATCAATCAGCACAATGATGAATTAAACAGCGGTGAATCATCATCAATCAAATTAAAGCCTCAGCGGCCTGACACTAACGACTCATTGAAACTACAGGAAGACAGAGGATTTGAGTGCATCAGCGTGTGTGTTTCTGTTTCAGCAGGCAGATGAGCAGCAACGCCAATGATGAAGATGAAACCTGACACAACTGCTTGCTTATTCCGTGTCTCTCTCCGTCTGTCTGTCACGCTTACACACTCGGTAACTGCTCTGTGTATAGCTCGATTTTCAAAAATCCTTTTTTTCCTCTTCTCTCCCCTTATCTCTGTCTTTCTTGATCGGCTCCCTCGTTACCGACCTTCCTTTTTAATCCTCCTCTCTCCTGCCCTTCTCCTCTATTATTCTGTAAACTCTATTTCCCATCCGTGATGTGTGTGTGCCTGACCTCTTCTCTTCTATCAAACCTTCTCTGCGGTTTAATCTCGGGATTAAAGTCTCATCATATCTAATGACAGCACCTGGAAACCCAAAGGTGTCGATATGAGGTTAACGAGCGGTAAAATATTTTAAGTTTTGACACGCCCACCTACTCGTTCTTTATTAGTGCCTGCCAAGGGAAGTCTCTATATTAATTTTTCTAGTATTTCACTTTCGCCTGCTACTTGTTCCTTGAGTAGCTTATGGAGCAGACAAGTGTTTAGCGCTAAACCACAGAAGATTGTTAAGATGAAAACATTTCTATCAGTTAAATAAAACAGCAAGCTTCAGTTTGCAATCAAAAAAATAGTTCAAAATAAAAATGAATATTTAAATCAACCTCAAGTGGTTTCAAAACTGAGATTGTTTTGACAATATTTGGAAAAATGTTGCACTCTGGTTTATTTAAACCAAAATTGGGTAAAATTTAGATTAGCCTAAACACTGGGTTAAATTTGGTCTTATTATTTAATTAAAAAAATTAACTCAGCAGTTGGTTTAGACCATATTACACCCAAAATTGGATTGAAACAACCCAGCATTCTAAGAAATAATATTTAAATCTCAAAACTGTCTCAAAACTGAGATTGTTTTGACGATATTTAGAAAAATGCTGCACTCTAAGAAAGCTGGGTTATTTAAACCCAAATTGGGTAAAATATGAACTAACCCAAACACTGGGCTAAATTTAGTCCTATGAATTTAATAAATAAAAATAAAAAATAACCCAGCAGGTGGTTTAGACTGTATTACACCCAAAGTTGGATTGAACTAACCCAGCATTGAAACAAATTATATTTAAATCACCCTCAAGTGGTTCCAAAACTGATTTTGTTTTGATGATATTTAGAAAAATGTTGCACTTTAAGAAATGCTGGGTTATTTAAACCCAAATTGGGTAAAATATGGACTAACCCAAACACTGGGCTAAACTTGGTCCTATTAATTTAATTTTAAAAAATTAATCCAGCAGTTGGTTTAGACTGTATTACATCCAAAATTGGGTTAAAATAAACCAGCATTTTAAAAATTTATATTTAAATCACCATCAAGTGGTTCCAAAACTGAAATTATTTTGACGATATTTAGAAAAATGCTGCACTCTACATAATACAAGCTTATTTTAATCCAAATTGGGTAAAATATGAACTAACCCAAACATAGGGCTAAATTTGGTCCAATGAACTTAATTAAAAAAAATAACCCAGTAGTTGGTTTAGACTATTACACCCAAAGTTGGATTGAAATAACCCTGCATTGTAAAAAAAACACAAAAAAAAAACAAAAACAAAAAAACTTGTATTTAAATCACCCTAAAGTCGTTCCAAAACTGAGATTGTTTTGATGATATTTACAAAAATGCTGCACTCTAAAAAATACTGATGTTTTTAAAACCAAATTGGGTAAAATATGAACTAACCCAAACACTGGGTCAAACTTGGTCCTATAAATTTAATTTAAAAAAATTAACCCAGCAGATGATTTAGCCCAAGGGTACCCAAACTCGGTCCTAGAGAGCCGGTGTCCTGCAAAGTTTAGTTCCAACAACAATCAGACACACCTGGGCCAGCTAATCAAGCTTTTACTAGGCTTTCTAGAAACATCTGTGCAGGTGTGTTGGGGCAAGTTAGAGCTAAAATCTGTAGGACACCAGCCATCCAGGACCGAGTTTGCTCACCCCTGGTTTAGATGGTATTACCCCCAAAATTAGGTTGAAATAACCCAGCATTGTAAAAATGTATATTTAAATCAACCTTAACTAGTTCCAAAGCTGAAATTGTTTTAATGATGTTTACAAAAATGTTGCACTCTAAGAAATGCTGGGTAAGTAAAACCCAAATCGGGTAAAATATGGACTACCCCAAACACTGGATTAAATTTGGTTCTATTATTTAATTAAGAAATTAACCCAGCAGTTGGTTTAGACTGTATTACACCCAAAATTGGGTAGCAATAATCCAGCATTTTAAAAATTTATATTTGAATCACCTTTGAGTGGTTTCAAAACTGAGATTGTTTTGACCATATTTAGAAAAGTGTTGCACATTAGAAATGCTGGGATATTTAAATCCAAATTGGGTAAAATGTGGACTAACACAAAGACTGGGTTAAATTTGGTCCAATTAATTTGATTAAAAAATTAACCCAGCAGTTGGTTTAGACCATCTTACACCCAAAATTGGGTTGAACCCAGCATTTTTTAGAGTGTGGAAACCGGTCGTCACTGACATCTATAGTATTGAAAACCAATACTACACAAGGCAACAGCTACCAGAGCTTCCAAAGTTCTTTCAAATGTCTTCTTGTGTGTTTAACCGAAGAAAGGAACTCAAACGGGTTTGTGAAAAGTGAGTAAATGATGACAGAATTGTCAGTTTTGGGTGAAGTTTAAATATGAATTCATAAGCTGCTGTGCTTTTCTAAATCTCACTAGATGATGGCCTTGTGATTGTCACCTTGTAGACAAAAAAATATCTAAGTGACTTGAGGGTTACGAAGCAACATCTAACAAATATTTAACAATACCATAACAACATTACAATGGTGTAAAGAAGGGGTGTCAAATCCTGCTCCTGGAGGGACAGCGTCCTGCAGAGTTTAACTCCAACCAGCAACAATACACTAGCCAGCAGGTTTGTAGTAAGTCTAAAAACTTTGATTAGCTTTTGGTTTGCGCTAAACTCTGCAGGACAGTGGCCCTCCAGGAGCAGGTTTGGGCACCCCCATTGTAAAGCAGTGTTTTTCAACAAGGACGTGACTGCCCCCAAGTGGGTGTCCTGAGGATATCAAGGGGCCCCTGGAAGTAGTCATTTTGAAAGGGGGGCAATGAGATGCTCCTAGTGGAGTTTGTTTACTGCAAGTTTGCACCAAGGAATCACAATGATTTAAGTCATGCTGCAGGATTTAGTCGAGAGTTGGGGTCGCAAATGTATGTTAGAATTGAACATGACATGGTGATGCACCACCTTCTGTCCAGTGTTTGAACCCCTTCTTGGTGGAGAACAATAGGATCTGGATTATGAAGAGGGGCTGATGCTGGTGCTTAAAAAGTGAACTCATGCAGATTCTGATTTTACCAAGTGCAACAAGTTCCTACTTTAGAAACTTTGTATAAAATTTGAGGGACAAGTTTATAGTTTGTCAACTTTAGGTTTATAATCAGGGTTTATTTCCCTCTGATTTTAGCACAGTATGGGCAGGGTTAGGTTTATGGGAAGGGATTAGGTTTGAATTCAGTGTTCTGACATAAAATATGTTTTAGGATCAACAAATTATGTCGACCCAGAAACACATCCAACTCAAAATCAGGATGTACAAGTGCAAAGGAAAGTTGCAGGACATGATGACATGTGGGAACACCCTACAAAATGATGGCAACTCCCTGTTGTTCTGACAAAGTTACTAGAATGGGACTGGAAATGCCTAGCACAGTGATGTCCAAACAGAATGTAGCATTAGAGCATCCTGGCAAATCTCTTGTGACACCACAAATGTGTGGCAGCGTCAACAATCTCCAATGCGGACAACTGACTGACATACAGCAACCAATCAGGGTTTATTTGATCAGAATCATGATTAGCAGCCTTTGTGAAATTTATTCAACTAGAAAACTAAAGGTAGTTTTTAAGAAGTTTTTAAAAGTAGTTTTAAGAGGTTTGAAACAGTTCTACAATTAGGTTAGCATGTTTCTAGTATGGATTGGCTTGTTTCTTGCAAGGCTATTGATAGGGGGTTCTGAGGGGTTGCTAAGGTGTTACTAGGTGATTGGTAAGGTGTTGCTAGAGTGTTTTGACTGGTTGTTAAGGCATTGCTAAGCGTTGGCAAAGCTGTTCTGAGTGGTTGCTAGGTGGTTGCTAAGGTGTTCCAGGTAGTTGTTAAGGTGTTGCTATGTGGTTGCTAAGGTGTTGCTATGCAGTTGCACATTGTTGCTATGTTGTTGCTGGGGTATTTTGAGTAGTGGTAAGGTGTATTTGCTATCGATGGATTTATCAGCGTTGCAACATCTTGTTTTATCCCTCTCCTTTTCGCAGCACCATCTGACAAAATTTTGCATGCTCATGGGATCTACTATGCCCCTTTTAAAAATATGTAAATAAGTCTCTGATGTCCCTATAATGTCTGTGTCGAGTTTCAGCTCAAAATATCCCACAAATAATCTTGTATAACTGTTTGAAACTGCCCCTTTTAGGCTTTGATCCAAATTGTGCTACTTTGGTGACTGTCGCTTTAAACACAAAAGAGATTTTCAAAAGAAGGCGGAGCTTCAAATACCTATGCGTCAGCATAGTGGCAGATTCAACAACAAGGCTAATGTCCTATGCTGATGAGGGAGAGATTACAACTAACGAGCGGGGCTTTCCCCCTCTGATGACACGCACAAAGTGAGAATGACAATCAAAGTGTTTCTGCAGACAATTTTTATAAAATGTGATTATAAAAAAATAATATTATTACATTTTTACCATTAGAAGTTGGTTATATTCACTAATTGTCACCACACAACTGTGTTTAAACACCT